ATACTTATTTTACCCACTGTACGTATAATAAAGTTTGTGTAATATCGGTAAATACTGATTACCAGCCATAACAGCAATTATTATATCGGATATCATTATCGGCTGAAAATTTCATATCGGTGCCTCCCTACTAAGCAACAAAATGCATTTAACAGCTAAACAAGTGGATTTTGAATACACCTCTTTAAACAGACAACTATTAAAATGTCTAATGATGAAATTTTCCCTGCTTAAATGTTTGTTGTGTGTCAATAAAACATGGGTTCAACCCTCAACTTAGGTCTCTGTTTTTCTGCTTCAGTGACTGATAGACTGATGGAAAATGGGCTAACTAGAGGCAGGTGAGAATCCAAAGAAACCTTTAAAAAAAACAAGAAAACTACTGAGCAAGATCGTGTTTAAAGATCCCGTGTGACACCTTAAATATAATTGGATCATTGTATATGATTATAACTACACACATAAAAACAAAATAGGCGTTCTTTAGAGGTTCTCTGACTCTCCTTTATAAAACTTTCCCCCTTAAGAAGACTCCTCATCCCATTTCCCACCGTGTTTGTTCATATGTTTTATGGCTTACTTTGTTCAATGGACAAGAGGTCGTCTGAGGACATGCCGGGCGCCATGATGTTCGGATGCACCACTACCACGTTGAAGGGGAGTCCTCCAGGTAAGGCCTGGTTCTGGTCGCAGCTGCCGTCCGAGTCCTCATCCTCCCTGGGGAAGCCGTTCTCCGAAGCTCCCCCTCCAAAGGCTCCCTCCGGAGACTCCACTTTGATGTGCATGGGAGGTGATTGCTCGTACAGCAGCCCCCCCTCCTCGTAGTACTCAGTCATGGATCAGACCTGGTTTTACAGCAGAACTGACTGGTGGGCCAATTCTGATCCTGGCAGCTCCTGCTCCATCAAGTTTCAAAGTTTAAAAGCTTTGAGGTGTCACTACTTAATCTTCATGATCAGGGCTCTGCTGTGGGTACAGATCCAACTGGGACTTTTTGTTTTAGCACATGTACAAGTAAAGTACATTAAACTGCTGTTTTATAAACAACAGGGAGATATATAAATAAAAGAAACATCTAACGGAATCTGAATGGTTCCACAGACAATGATGGCAAATTCTAGAAACTTAAATCCACTCATTTACACTCATGTTATTAAAACATATAAGAGTGGGAGGCAGGAGGCAGAGTGCTGCATGTCCATTTTCCAGAATGAGAAGCATCATCCAGACTCGCCTTCAGCTGAAATACAAACAAGACATAACACTGCTTTTATTACGCGTGGAGTAACACAAAAAAGCATATACTCGCTGTTTCAAGCGACGTTCCCTCTGTTTTTTTTTATGTCGCATCGATGCGCATTTTGGTCTGCACCATATCCGCAATGGTTGCGCATTCCGCATACATTAGAGAGGTGCTGGTGCAGAAATGGAGCTAGCTGTTTTAGCTTTAGCTCCGGGCGAAGCGGCGGCTTTTCTCTGGGCAGGCGGCTTCACAACAAGACGATACGGGCATGAATGTAAGCCTGGTGTGTGTCTCACCTCATGCTGAGGTACAAAATATATAAATATATCGACCAAAACACGAGCGAAGGAGTAATTAGCAGCCGAAACACAAACCTTAGCAGGCGGTCGCGCAGTGTTGACGTCAAACAGTGGTGCGTTCAGGAACAATCAGCCGAGGACGGTGTAAGTTGGGAACTGACTTGACGCCAAATTTCAACAGGTCATTTGTACAGACTTGTATTTACTCTTCACTCCAAACAAACCGTTAATTTTTAACAACAATAAATACCCAGGCCATACAAAAGCCAACTAAATCAGAATTACCCCCCAGTTCTCCTAAAGCAGCAGTCTGCAAATCAGAAGAACAATTTTAGACCCCTTCTCCCTAAATACAACTTATCCAAAGCTGAATAAATATTTGAAGCTCTCTCTCTCTCTCTCTCTCTCTCTCTCTCTCTCTCTCTCTCTCTCTCTCTCTCTC